GGGGGGGGAAGACATGGGGGACAGCAGATCAAGGTCCCCATGGTGAGGGAGGGAGTGGGGCTGGTAGGGGCAGAGCCACAAGCAGCTCATCCAGGAGGCGTGGGGAGGAGGCAGCTTCCGCCACTGTGCAAACCACAGGGGAAGATGGGGGGGCATGTGCCCCCCCCCATCTGCTTAGGGCAAGGGTGGACTGCCCTTTACAGACTCTTCCCGGCAGGGGGGGCTAGGCTGGGGCTGCACTCTGGGCAGGTGGCAACAGCACTGGGGGGGGGTGCTATGGCAAACTTTGGGGTGGCTGTAGCCCCCCCCATAAACCCCCTTCCCAGTGCTGCTGCTGCCTGCCCTGCCCAGCCCAAGTGAAGGCCCTACCACCAGGAAGAGCTCAGCACAGCCCCAGCCCCAAGCATGCAGAGGGCAGCCTTCCCTCACCCAATGCACAGACCCAGGGGGCACATGCCTCAATGCCTCCCTCAGGGTACGCACAGCAGCAGTCACTGCCCCGCTTTCTGCCCCTCCCCACCCTGGACAAGCTGGTCACAGTTCGCACCCCGGCTGTGCAGCGCCTGCCCCTTTCTCCACCCTAGCCCCACTCCCTCCCTCACCGTGGGAGTCTCGATCTACCCCCACCACGCCCCTTCTCCATCACAGACTTACCAGCTGGATACTGCTCTCTAAGCTGCCAGGCTGCATATCAGCAATCGGATCGGTAGTGGCCAATATGGCTAGTCCACAACTGGCCATCGGTATCAGCCCAAGAAGTCTTTATCAGTGCACCCCTTATTGCTTTAATGAAAATTTAATTATGGGGGAATAACTGTGTTGATTTTACTGTAAACCTACTTGACTGAAACTTTTTAAGGGCTGATGTATAAAATAGGGTGGTGATAACATCTCAAAGCTATGAGATTCAATGGTAAAGAATGTCTTACAATGTCCAAGTCTTAGAGATGTTATGAGCAAGAGCAAGTCTCACCAGGAGTATGCTCCTTGAGCTCATGAATATGGCCAATTAATTTGACTGCACTTTTGAGAAGTTAATTCTACATCTGCTTGTCCTGAAACTGTTTCTCCTGAAAGACACCGCTGTTTTTGAAAGGGTGACTGAAAATAACACTCCCATTCTGAAAACCCAGTTCTCAAAATAGATCATGAATGTGACTGGGTGTTGACGCAAAATTGAAGAAAAAAGCAATTAAGCAAATATGTTTACCCACCGCCGCCTCCCCCATATTTTCCTTTATCCCAAACAGAACAATTTAAAACGTTGTGACCTTAACCCTACAGCCCCTTATGCTTGTAACAGTTGAGCATCTCCTAAATGCCATCTACCACCATGCCTTGTCCACCCATTGCACCAGATTCCACCTACTAGATTATATCCACCAGCACTGCCTGCACACCTCAAAAAATGAAGTGTGATTTCTTGCTGTGAAACTAATTCTATCATGATTTATAGCCACTGATGACAAGCAACTACAACTGATTTTGGGGTCCCAACCAGTAAAACTACATGAACCCCTACCACAACAAAATCTGTCCTCCTCCTCTGAGACTTTTACATTCAAAGATTTAGGAACAGGCTGGTCACTTGGCTTATATTAATCACAACAAATAGCAGTATCAATGCTCTCAATCATTATGGTAAGGATTACTATTTCATTCAATGTTTGGCATGGCATTGTGGCATGGACACAGAATGGATCAGAGAATTTGCTTCTTAAAAACACTTTCAAAACGTAGGCCTTTTGAAAAACTTCGTTCCTCATTTTTTCTGTTACTGTTTATCCTTGCTCTTTAATAGAAATATTTTGAAAACTTAACTTTGAGAAACTGCCAGAATGGAAAGGGTTGCTTTTTTACAATAAAGTTGTTGTCAAAGACATGCACTGAAGTTCAAACAGAAAACAAACTGACAAGACTTCCATTCACAAAAGCAATTCATTGTATATTTGCATTCCTGTACATATGAAACAGGTTAGCCCACTAATACTGAGATGGTTTAATCTTCAAAAAACATCATTAAACAAATTCTAATACAGAAAAATGAGTGGTTAAAATGACTTTTATATTACTTATATTTTATATTTATATTACTTATATTTTAAATAAAATCAAATGGTTGGGGTGTTTGAAATATGAAGCAGCAATACTTTAAATAACTGAATTTCTGTAAGATTTGCATAAGTTCTCCCCCCAAACATGGAAATAACAATTTGCCTCCTTACCTACAATTTAAATCATTTACTACATATGAACAGTAAAGGATTTTGAGATGTAATAGTCTTATCTTTATAGTAAGCCCACATACTTAGTTTACAAATGTTTTAAGATGATCAAGAACTAGGTAAGTCAAAAAAAACCCTCCATGTTTCCATGCTAACAACACTGACCCGTATTCAAACATGCACAATATAGTGTATTTCTGCTGTAACCTGGAGCACACTTAGTAAAAACAAGCTCATCATCTTCAAATGAAAATTCAATTCATTTTGATTACAGGCCATTAAGGACACTGCAATTGCAAAGAGAAAGAATTGGCAAAGCTAATTTTAAAATTAAAGTAACAAAGCAAAACATATCAGGCAACATGCACAACTATGCTAGTTGTATCACAACTGCAGTAAGACAAGCAGCAAGACAGCTCACTAACCACCCCCCCAAAGAAAAACCCTATTTTACAAAAAGAAAAACAAAAAACCCTCTTAACAAAGACACCTACAAAATAGTTAAAGTAGAAGATTTCAGAGGATGCACAAAAAACATTTAGCAGACTTAACAATTTGATTAAACAGAGTCCTGAGAGAGTTTAACAATGTTCACAGCATACGCATAACACATTTACAACAAGAAAGAAGAAAGGCACCTGGAGACATCTGACACTGGGCATGCTCTGCAGGCATCTCAGTGCGCACATGCTCTCTACCAGGTTGGAGCAGCCTAGCCACAAAGACCTTGGCACAGAACACTGCAGGGTGACAAAAAGGAAGGAAGAGAAGAAGCAGTTAGATGCCACAACGAATCACTTAACGCAGGCAACTCATTAGTACTTTAAAGTGGATAGTTATTTGTGTTAATTTCTATGTTAATCAATGGTTAGTGGCCAACAGTAAAATAACTCGTGAAGGTCTTTTTATACTACATCATGCCCCATTCTACAAAGGATAAGGCCCTGGCTTCTCCATTCCCAACTGTTCGCTCTTGGTGCCTTTTTGAGAAGTCCAGATGATAACTTCATACTTTGTCTTCATTTTATGTCTAATGTTTTCTGCTCTCAAACTAGTCCAGAATTTTGCATTCAGGAACGTTGTGGTCAAAACATTTTGGAAAGTGGATTTTTTTTTTACTTTGGTATCTAGTGTGCTGGTATATTCAGTTACATATTTGCATAACGGATTTTACTACATTCTACTTTTGCGCTCATACTATGGGCTTGTAGGCACTAGAAAGTGGGGCCATTAGAATATTATCTTGAGGAGTTGTGTTAAACAATATGATAATAAACAAGGCTTCACCTTCAGCACAAACCCAAGTTACATCAAACATCTACAGCATCCTACTGTAGGCTTAACTGAAAAGGCTCCTTTATCATCACATAGTTAATTTCTCAAGGTGATGTTCTAAGACAATATTCATTTTCCAATAAAAAGGAGGACAAGAAGATACGCATTTTACTCTTCTTCAGAAACATACAGTATTTCATTCCAATTTCAGGACCCAAACCAACTTAAATTATAGATGTGCTATCTTAACTGACTTAATTGACAAAATTCCGTTGCCGATGCAAGTGCAGCATTTGGCCTGCAACATCTTTATCATGAGTAACAGGAAAAGCCATTGACAGATTCCAGGCTGTTGGAATGGAGGTTAGAAGTGTTTTGTTTTGTTTTTGTTCTTAACTTAAAAAAGAAATTAGATACAGAAGCTAGAAAGAAGCTTTAGAATCCTATAACATCATTTTACAGGATCATTTTTCAGGCTATAGTAGTAGAGTTAAGATAACCAAAAGTAATTTCAGTTATTCACAACCAAGCAGCAGGTATACGCAACTCTGAAAATCTGGCAGTCCTAGCTTTTCTCATTAACAAAGCTACAGACACTTGTGAAACGCACCAAATGAAGCTAATTAGAAAAAAAAGTTTAACGAAGTCAAAAACAGTACAACTCCAAATGGAAACCTAAGAAATGCAGCTTAGTGCCAGTACTAAGAGAAGGGGTCTCAAGCAAGTGAAGAAGTTAAGATCTTGTTTTCTAATAAGCTTTCCTGTTTTTCTGTTCAAGATTATTCCTCTGATAAAATTGAGAAAGTATGAAGAGAAAAGAAGGCCAAAAATTGTGCAAATATCATGAATTACTCAAATTCTCCCTTTTGATGTACAGTAAAATCCCTGTTCTCTGGCATAAGTGGGGAATCAGGGGTGCCATTATGCTAAAAGTGCCGGTTACCCGAGGCACAGGGTTTCCGGCTGCACGCTGGGGGGGTTTGGCAGCAGCCACGCGCAGTGGCAGCAGCAGTGCAAGGTGGTAGGTGGCAGTGCCTACTGCGTGCGAGCTTCCCCCCCAGCAGGAGCCAAAGCGGCACAGCGCCGTGTGCATCCCGCCACTTTTGATGCAGCGCCAAAATTCCGGTTAATAAGGTATTCCGGTTGGTGAAGTACCAGATAACAGGGATTTTACTATATTATGAAAGTCAGTGACCATGGTTGTATTTAAGCTAGTTACATCAATGATCTTTACATTTTATATGGATGCAAGACTACAAATATTAATATTCTATTATTTTTTATCCAATATCTAAGCATAACCATGAACCATTCTAGTTACTGGAAAGTTAACTTTTAAAATCTGAAGTTGATTTTCACTCGCTCTCCAACTCCCAGGGTCTTGGGATGTAATTTTTCTTGTAATACACGACTGTATCCGCACCCAAAATTTCATCCCCTAAACTATATTAATAAATCCATAGCTACAGCAGAAAAAAACTCAAGGTCCAAATTTCAGAAGACATTGTCAAGCAAAATCATTTCAGAAGAAAACTGTAGAATAAAATGTTGTAATACTGAGATTTAAAGATGAGAGATCTCAAACCTAACATGCCAAAATTTGTCAACATTCAACTGGTAATTGAACTGTCTGGCTCAAAGACTTATCAAAAAAATCTCAGGCTGCTGAATTTTCTTCTCATTGATTTAGTTGCCTGATACCATTAGGAGAAACAACTCATCAGATATTGATTCTTATTCATTTACTATCACGTAGCATGTCACTATATGCAGTTATCTAAAATTTTATTTTATGGATTAGATGTGTGGATTAGCCCCAGTCAGTCAGTCAAGCTTCTAGATCAGAGGTTCCCAACCACCGGGCCGCGGTGGTTGCTGGGTCATGGCATGAGCCCCCAGCTCAGCCCCCCATCTATCCACCAGGACGAGAGGCTTCTGTTGCCAGTGGTGACATGCAGAGTGAAAGCTGGGGGGCGAGGCAGCCCCACAGGAAGGAGGCAGTTTGCTCTGCCGCTCCCGTGCTGGTCCACAGCACAAAAAAGGTTGGGAACCACTGTTCTAGATCCTTTACCAAGCTGGGGTTTTAAAATGTCCTTTAGGCAGAGAGAAGGTAAAACCAAAAGAAAGCCCATAAATAAGTTTCAAATTAGTTTAAAATCCAATGGGCAAAATCACTTCAAAATATCTGTGTCAAGTTTAAACTATAGGAGATTTTTTTAATAGTATTATAAAGACCTTAAGAAAAGGATTAATAAAGGAAAGGCAGAGACACATAGCTATCACTATGTTTGTGTACTAAAAGCAAGTCAAAGAGGGCATGTTCACACTAAGGAATAAGTAGCTACCTGTAAGCTTCTTTGTTGAGTTATTTTTGATAACTGGGGTTGCGGAAGGGGAGGGAAGGATGGGGTGGCAACAGGTAGAGCTGGTGGCAACGAAAAATGTGACACTACATTGACAGTTTCCACATTTCATGTTAAATTAATCTCATCCAACTCTAATGCTGTAAAAGCAAGGAAGGATGAAGAAAGTGCATAAATATAGTAATGCATAAAGTTATTACCTCCTAGAGATCTTAAAATTCCTAATGTCAAAAATTAAATGAAATTTGGACATTTTGGCTTGGACCATGCAAGTCTTTTTTTTTTTTTTTTTTTTTTGTGGACAAAAGTGGGGGGTGACATTTAAGTCAAGTTAAAGCACATTTCTAGAGACAAGAGCAGTGTTCCCCTTAAATATTTTATGCTAATTAGTTTTCTATTTGTTAGATGAGAAGCGCTAAAAACAATAGCAGAAGTACTGAACATCCAAAAAACCAGGATCACCAATCAGAACATATAGTAAATTTCACTACTGACCAAACTGATTTTTTATTACCGCTTCACATGGTTTGCTATTAGACCAATTTACAAAGCTCCACGGAGATCAATAAAAATAATTACTAAGTATGGAGGAACTGGATAAATCAAGGGATACTCGCCTGAAAGGGGAAAGTTTGATAAATCACAGCAGAATTATTTAAGATGAGATAAGAGAATTGGTCAGATACGTTTATGCTCAGGAGTACTCCAAGTCAGCTGCAGAAAACTCTGTATTCAAAGCAATACTGCAAACAGTATGCATAGGTCATCTGCATAGTTCACTGATAGATGGTCAACCAAATACTGTAAAAGCATAAGTGAAGTTGATATCAACACCAACCTTTGGAGTATGCAGGCTAAAATAAACTAAATCCTATCTCACTCTTTAAGGTACAAGAGGCAGGGGAATTTCATATAGGTAGGAAGAGAGGCTTTTCCTTTTCTACAAGGTATTTTGAAATTACAGGTATCAATCACTGTCAGAGACAGTACAAATGAATTGCTGAATCATTGCTCTGATCTTTCACAGGTTGTTATATCCATCACGGATACTACTGGTATACTGAAATAATTTTGCTGGGATTACAGTCAGTTATGCTAATAATTAATTACTTTAACCAACAAGAAAGTTTAAATATGTAACCAGACTACCTACAGAGAATTTGCTACCCATTAACCCATTCAAGTGAGTAATATCAGCAGGACTGGAACATCGGCTAATGCAAAAAGAACTTTTCAGACTAGGAGTCATGATAGGGAAATGATGTTTTTTCACATACATCAGAATTTCTTATGACCTCCTTTACAAGTATGAACATTCGTTCCCTGGTACGTAGATTATAGTGCCACTAGCTTTGGAACTGTTTCACAAAACTGCAATACCACATGCACAAAAGTATTCTAATAAATCAAGAAATACTGAGAGACAGTGCCCTCAAAATTAAAATCTATAGAAGCATTTGAATAACTGAAACTTAAAAATTATTTTTATTCTACAAAAGACATGATAATTTAGAGTCATTCAAAAGGAATGATGTCTGACTTGCCCCTAGCTCTTTAGGACAGGTCAAGGAAGGCTCTATACCAGGGTAGGCAACGTTTTTTGGCCAGAGTGCCAAAAAACCCCACAATGCCTACCTTGGAAGGTGCCGGAGTGCCGGTATGCCAGAAAAACAAAATGAGGGCAGGGAGTACATGGCAGGATGCCCTGCTCATGCCCCTTGCCCCCCACGCCTGCTGCCTCTTGCCCCCAACCAACCCCCTGCCCCCCAACCTGGTCTCTGTGGCTATCAGCAGCTACCTGGAACCTGGGCCAGCTGCAAACATCTGCTGCCTCTCCACCCCAGCCCCCGCTGCCTCCCAGCCCCAGACCCAGCCCCAGGGAGGCAGCAGATGCAGGGATGCTCCCTGCTGTGCTGCCCTTGCCGTTGCTTCTGCAGAGCAGCATTGTGTCCTGCTGGCCAGGTCCAGTGGGGGGGGCGCAGAAAGCTGCCTGCCGCTCTCAGCTCCCCGCTGCACTGGCCACACTTTCCCTGCACGCGGGGGCAGCAGAGAGGGGCACAACCCTGCATGCCGTCCACGCTGCTCCCGTGCATGCAGGGGAA